TAAAGCGCATCATAGATATTTCATAACACAAAAGTAAGGGTATTTTGGGAAATCACTGTTTGGCTCTGGCTGATTGTACACACTGCTCTTTCTTGCTTTCTCTTTGAACTCTTATTCACTTTTAGAAAACTATTTATTTGAAAACTTTTTCTTACTTCCTCAGTTTGAGTCCAGATTTACCCAGAGGCGCATCCAAATCCCTCAAACCAAGGCTCTGATACCAATTTGTAACGCCGTAAATTTCAAGGCAAAATTTTCATTTAAAATAATCATTTAATATTAAAACATTTGTTAAAAATCTCGTTCATAATTGAATTACAAAGCATAGTTCCATTTTCACTTGAATAGAAAACCAGGATCCTCCAAAATTTGACTCTTTCGCTGGTGTGTACAATCGAGCCGGTGCCATCCCGTGTTACTGAAAGAACCTGAAAACAACATAATACAAAACACTGTAAGCACGAAGCTTAGTGAGTTCCCCAATATACAACTTACGCATATACGCCTTTCCAGGCCCTGACCTTCCGGTCCACAACACAACCCGCCTTCCGGCCCTTAACATAATCGCCTTCCGGCCCGTAACATATTCGCCTTCCGGCCCATAACATATTGCCTTCCGGCCCATAAACATACACAACATATAATACATTTATCCTAACACGTATAGCACATATATCATACATCATATCCGACCTTTCGGTCACATAACATATTGCCTTCCGGCCCACATAAACATACATAGCACGCATAGCAATTACCTTTCCATTTATAGCACTTATAACACATATCATATCCGACCTTCCGGTCACACAGTCAAACCCTTCCGGGTACAATATAGTGAGAAGACTCACCTCGCGGATACTGAAAGTTAGCAACTCCTGAAATCCCTCGTACTTGATCCGCCGAGCTACAAGCTCCCTGAATAACGTCATATATCTCTTATTAATACTTTTATCTTCCACGTTAACTGACCCTAAGAAATCACACATGGGTCAACTCTGGAACGGTCCACGGTCAACTCGACCGGACTCGGCGAGTACTCTGGCGACTCGGCGAGTCTAGTCGTCCTCCAATCCGCTAAGGTTTCCCTTCTACTCGTCGAGTATCCTCCTTGACCCGACGAGTTACTCCTGGAAGAATCGTGGGGCCACCCCGACTCCACTCGCCGAGTCTGAGGAACAACTCGACGAGTCCCAGTTATTCTTCAAGCTACTCGCCGATTCTGCTCATCTGACTCGGCGAGTCCATGCCATGCAGCCGCTCAAACTGCTCCCTAAGGTCGGAACTGCTCCGACCATTCATAGGTCTGGCCTTCCTAGACTGATCCATTATGTATGGTCCTCATTTCGGTGCTCATACTACACCCCAAGACTTATAATTCACATGTTTACCTAAGGCATAAGGATTTCAATCCAAAACCTTCACCAATTCCCGAAATGCACAGACATGGGGGTATTCTGGACCTCCAAGGGTCCTACACGGTGTTACAATCGTTTGGGGAACAAGGGTAACATTCAATCTATCCATAAAAGGGTTCCATAAACCCTAATCCTCTAAATACATCACCATAGCAGAGTATACACGAATTCTTACCGGGATAATGTGTTCTCTGTGTCCCCAATCCTCAGAATGTGACCCCCTTGCTGTTCCTTTAGCCAAGCCCTTCTCTTCTTTGCACAACAACTCCTTCAAAATCACCAATGGCCTTTAATCTTGATCTAGATGCACACAATCGATTTAGAGTTCTTCTCAGAAGGCTAAAACGAACAATGACGGCCAATAAGTCCCCTTTATACGTCCCAAACCTAAACGGCTAGGGTTTTCGCTAAACAGCGCAGACTCGCCGAGTCCCTATCTGACTTGTCGAGTCCAGTCGCGAACCCGCGACCAGGTCTGCGATCCTACTCGGCGAGTCTGGCTCCAACTCGCCGAGTCCCCCCTTAAAACACCCCCTAAATATAATTTTAACAAAACTTGAGATTCCGGGCTGTTACATGAGAGCTGAATATTCATCCTCTCTCCTCACTTCTCTCATTTGCTCTCATTTCACCAAGAAGATCAAACTCTTTCCTCTCTCACTTTCTCTCTCTAGAAATTTGAGATTCAAGGGCTGATCTTGGGTTTTTCCTCCACATTTGGTAAGCATAATCCATTCTCCTTATGATTATTTCACTTCTTATACTCAAATCATGGATATCTTACACAAACTCCATCATAATTGTGTTAGAACTTCGAATCTTCAAGTGATTCTTCAAGTGTTCTTGGGTTGAACACTTCTCTTCTTCAACACTTATCTACTGAAATCACTCAAGGTGAGTTCATACCCCTACATTTTCATGTTTTCTCAAGTTTTTAGGGGGGGGGGGGGGGGGAATACAAGTTAAAACACCAAAACATAACTAAGTTTTTCTAACAGCCTTCATCAGAAAAGTTCAACTCCATTCACGGACTGTTTTGGGCATCTTAAACATTTTTGTTTTCAAAACTATACAAGGTGTAAATAGCTCAAGTTTTTAGCTTTAAAATGACTACTTGCACATCTCCATACGATTTTTCTACAATTTATGGTGATTTTTACAAAACTGCCTATCATTGCAAACAACAATCCGGACCAGTCTATGATTATGGACTTTTTCACCCAAGTTGGAGGTCATTAAAAATCGTGATAAAAATTATGAGTAAACTAGACACATTTTTTGAACTCTCAGAATTTACGGATCTAGTTTTCGACTTCCTATGATTTTTCTATGATTTTTCCAAAACAGTGCATAATGGCTAAAGTTAGCCAACAACATATAAATATCATAACACTTTGTATTATGTTGAGCAAAGTGTATAATCATAAGTTCTAATTATTGAATGTGTTTCTTTGTTAGTTTATCATCATGAACTGAAACTAAGTCATTCATAATAAATATTAGACATTCATTTTAGAACACGTATAATAAACTATAAAAAGTATAGTTTAATGGATTCATAACATTTATGCATTTCCATAAAAGAGTTCTTACATATTACAAACGTTTTAGATAAACTATAATAGGTATAGTTTATGATACATCACGCAACACACTCGTACAAAAAGGGTACGTTCATACAGAAAAGATTTATATTCACACACATTTCACGTAAATTTGTTAACCTATATTGTGATACATTCTCTCCCCGTACGTCTGAGTGTGGGATATAATTCCTGGTAGTTATAATCAGAATCTCCTGGAGGGAGAACGTGATACTTGTATATAGATCTATATTGGGTTTGACACCCCACACCTTGCTGCTAGCTACAGTGGGACCTGCAGATCTACGGGTGACAAATGTCATTTCAGTTTTCGCGATGCCTGAGAAACGTCGTGGCAGGTTCACATAGTCATAGTATGATTATAGCGACTCACATAGGGATATAACAATCCATAAAGTTTACGGGATTTTATTTATAAAACCTAAATGGGTTTTATGTCGATTTAAAATCATTTTTTTATCTCAATGAGTACATATATTACTGTACACTTTTGGTTTTGGTAGTTACGACTACACATCATTTGAAACCACATTTATACCTTTAAGTATGGTCAATACTTGTTATTTCTCGGTCCTCGGATTTAGGACTACATATATATATAAAGTATTAACAAACATGAGAACATACGGAAATTTCATTTAATTCAAACGCGTCCATGTCCATTTAAACACATAACATTTTCTATTAGTAAGAAAGGTTACTTATACATTTTGGTCTTCGGTCATAAGACTACATTACACATATTTTAAAGAAAATATCGGATTTTCTGGATACATATTCTAACGCTTTTACAAGGAAAACGGTTTACTTTTCTAACGAAATCTCTTATGAACTCACCAACCTTTGTGTTGACACTTTTCAAAACTACTTGTATTCTCAGGAATTCAGTGAAAACAGGAAATCAACAACGTTTTGAGGATGGGACGATAAATCGTCAAACAGTTCATTTCGTATCATAATGTAATTGATGTGAATCCTGTAAACATGTGCTTTGATGTAACGTTTTCAATTATATTTGTGTTGGTTGTATTTACTTTGAGCACTATTATACTTATTGTTGTGATACTCTACATGAAGTCCTCCACCCCGGACGTTTCCGCTATCCTTGGTTTGGGGGTGTGACAGTTTGGGTGCACGGACCCACAGAGTTATAGCCTCGAGTGGCTAATATGTGTTATATGTGATATTTTGGGGAACTCACTAAGCTTTGTGCTTACAGTGTTTGGTGTTATTGTTTCAGGTACTAGTGACGACTGTGGGAAGGCGCCAGCTTGATCAGTACACACGCATGGGATTTATGATTTTGAGATCTTGGGATTTTTGTATTACTTGGATTGAATTTCAAAAATGGTTGTTTTATGAATGTTAAGTGAATTATGTTTTTATAAAATTCGAAAAAAATGTCTTGAAATTTACGGTGTTACAAGAGGTGCTTGGATTAATTGGATTGAGTGGGTCAAACCCCTAAACATGTAACTGCTCCTTAGACCTGGGGGAGTTGTGCGACAGAGGAAGTGTAGTTTCGCCACCTAGGCAACGAACATCGCCCCCTGGGTGCGGTTTAGATCGCAGTATGATAAAAAATGGTCGCGTTTTGTGATTGGATGGGGGAGAAAATTAAAGTTTTTTTATTAAAATTTAAAAAATAAATAAATAAATAAAGTGTGGCACCACTCATTGGATGTGACAAGGAACCACTTTATAGTTAAAATTAATATTGACGCTTATGTAACAATAAAGGGAGTGTGATTTCGATGACATCATTCCTTCCAGCCTTATAACCGGACCATTCCCTTTTTCCCTTTCTAGCTTCTTGATGGGATATTGCTTTTGCTTTTTTTTTTTCTAAGAAAACACTCAAAGACATATCAGAGTGGAAATAAACACCATTAACACATGGTTACACAATGAAAAAATTAAAATGCTTAACTACATATACTCATAGGTGTATGAACCTATTATTTTAATGATATATGATTTAGGAAGAGAATTCTTTTGCCATGACCAAAAGAGGAACCTTCTTGTGAACCGTACTACCATGCTCTTCCTCCATATCCAGGTCCGCTTCTTTACCTCCATTCGGCAACTCCCAATCAAACTTGTGCAAAAGATTAGCCAACACATATTCATCTATCACTAGCGCAAATTGCATCCCCGGACACCCCCTCCTTCTTGCACCGAAAGGAATCAGTTCAAAGTCGTGCCCTTTGTAATCAATATTATTATCCAAGAACATCTCCGGTTGAAACTCATCAGGTTCATCCCATACTTTAGGGTCTCTTTGAATGGCCCATCCATTAATAATAACCCTAGTTCCTTTCATGATGTTGTATCCCATGACTTTTGCATCTTCTCTCGAGACTCGAGGAATTAGGGTTGGGGCAGGGGGATGAAGACGTAGAGTTTCTTTTATGACAGCTTTCAAGTATTTTATGTTGTCTATATCTTGTTGGTTTATATGGTTCTTGTCCTGAAGAACCATCCTCACTTCATCCTGAAGTTTCTTGAAAGTCCTAGGATGTTTTAGAAGTTCTACAAATGCCCATTCCAATATTGTTGTTGTTGTTGTGTCTGTTTCAGCGGTATATACATCCTACAATAATAAAAGGTTTATTATCAAGAACATAATGTATCTTTTAGCCATTATTCAGTTTCACAAATATTCTTGACAATAAAAAGATATATATATAATATATATATATATATATATATATATATATATATATATATATATATATATATATATATATATATATGGTTAATTAATTAACTTCACAAATACTTTGCATATGATCGATCATTTCATATTGACTAACCGTTGCAACGCGATATTTTCATATTAAAAAGTTGCAGAAATTTTGACGGATATAATTTATCATCATAAGGAAAATAATATTAATTAGGTTTATGTTATACTTTATAAAAGCAACAAACTATAAAGGAAAAATATAAACACTAACAAATTGGAAATTCTAAGGGGAGGAATTGGTTAAATCAACAAAGGTCATGTCAAAAAATATTTTATACATAAACTATATACTAATACATTTAAATATTTTCAGCATATAGATATATTTATAAAATTATAAATTCATATAATAAATTAAGTTAGTAAATAAAAATAACTAACGTAATAAATATAAATAATTTATAATATTATTATATACAAATATACAATATAAAATAATAAAAAAGTAGCAGCAAAACAATGATAGCTAGCTTCCAAATTAACTTTCAATATTTGAATGCTATGGTTTGACGAAGTTATTTTCAAAGTGGGAAATGGAGGTGTAATGCTGTAGTGAAGGTAAAAAAAATGTAATTTCAAAGTTATTAAATGCCAAAAATCGAACACGTTTATCAATCGAATCGTCAGTTTCCATATAAATACAATATTAATAATAGCGTAAATACAATATTAATAATAGCGTAGTAAATTACTTACTATTAGTTTATGATAAAAATAAAAATTCTTACAAGTATGGATACATATAGAACATAAAAGTGTCAAATATTGAAGGTAGAGATAATTTATATTGTTGAAGGAACCGTGATAAAAACTGAATATATTTAAAGAATTTAAAATGATGAGCAAGATTTGTTTGTGTATGCATGAGCAAATATTAATTTAGTACGTGTAATGAATGAAATTAGATGCATCTTTAGGAAAAAGTTTCTACCCGGAATATAACATGTGACATATCGGAAACAACCACCTATTGAACAGTTGGTAAAAAAAATTTATTGAAATTTATATGAAAAGCAATACACACATAAAAGTCTTTTTTCCTTCTTTAAAGGTCCTTAATCATTTTAAAATATGACAAAGATGTTCCTATTATTCACCGTATTTATACTTGGTCTTGTTATGTTTGATGTTGTTCATGTTATTTTTACATTGAAGAGTCAATTAATAATCATTATTAAAAAGTCTTTTGAGTGGTATTAGTTAAATTGGGGGGTTTCAAATGCATAAGAATCAAAGAAATTAAATTAGAGGGTTTCAAATACATAAGAATCAAGGAAAAATGTTTCCTTTATAAGATATATAGATATTCAAACTATGTCAGAAAATCGTTTTCATACCAAATTATATAAAGTATATCGTTCGAACCTTAAAAAAAGCTTTTGCAAAATAGCAGTATTTTAATCAAAAAGAGTCTTCTTACCAAGAGGAGTCCTTTGATGTCATCTCTGTCTAGAAGGCTATTAGCATCTTTCTTTTGGATATTAATCAATATGTCAAGGAAGTCTTCACTGTTATCAACATCACCATCGTCGCCACTGTTCGACTGTTTCCTCAGCCGCTCCTCCACCAGTCCATCCAAGAACTCATCGACCTCTTTAGCAACTTTCTCGACTCTAGCACTAGTCCCTCTCACTCGATCCACCCACCATAGCCATGGAATCATATCCTCAAAATTAAGCTCACTCAATACATCAAAATATTCCTTCAACATGTTCTTGAACTTCCTCCCACTCTCCCCTTCGCTATACTTCATTCCAAATGTTACGGACTGAATGGACTCGCCGAGTCAAATTCACCACCTCCTGCATGTTACGGACTGAATGGACTCGCCGAGTCAATGAGCTGACTCGACGAGTCGGTTAGGATTTGTCCCGATGAGTCTGAGCATGTTGTACCTCGGCAAGTTGACAGGTCAACTCGACAAGTTGTGTTGGACTTTCATGAGGTTCCTGAGGAATTAAGGGGACTCGAGGAGTTGCAGAGATGCACTCGACGAGTTGGGTCAACATGGACTATTGACTTGAGTGTTGACTTTAGGGTTTGGTCAAACACGAGTAGTGGAGGTCATGGAGGGGTAGAATGGTCTTTTGCCCTTCCCAAGAGTTAGAGAGAGGCTAGCATGAATTTATCAAGATTTGTGATTTTAAGTGTTAATTTGAGATGCGCGTTACATGTAGGCAGGGATTAGAAGGTTCGTGGGGGTACATGTGACATCCCCATTTTCACGGCGAAAAAAGACCGATTTTGTTTATGCTTTATAAAAATCAGAGTATCTCTTTTAATAAAAATGTTGCGGAATTTGTTCCCAGTAAAACATGGTAAATACGTTATCAAAGCATTTCCGAAGAAAAGTATTTTTAATTTATTTTAAAACATTCGGGATGTCATCGTCAATATAGAAACATAAGCATAAAAAGAACTTACATTTATTTACACTAGTGATCTACATCTTTTTAATCTCTCAGTGTAATGTGACTTCATCTCAACATCTGTAATATAAATAAACTGAGTGGGTCAGGTTGGGAAACCTGGTGAGTACATAGGGTTTTCAACCTACAATAATATAACTCTTATGTTTAAACAATCAAACAATTGACCCAATTACTCATCCTCATTATCTTCTTTACTCTTAAGGATTTATCCTAAGAGTCATCTATCCCGCATTCGTTCATTCTGAAGTCCTTTGCTTCCAGAGTTATAGGACTGACACTAAATCCATAGCTACCAACGCTCATTCGTAAAGCACTAATTCCATAGCTACTGGGTAATAAATCCATAGCTACCAATGTTTATCTAATAGGTACTAAGTCCATAGCTACCAATTCCTAACAGGTACTAAGTCCATAGCTACTAGTGTTTGTCTAATAGGTACTAAGTCCATAGTTGCTGATGTTATTTGTTAGGCACTAAGTCTATAGCTGCCAATGTTTACTCACATCATCTTTTATCTCTCATCATTCATCTACCCATCTCATACCCAACATATTTGTATATTTAAAATACGTATACAGTTCAAATCATTTAAAACATGTATAAAAACGTTCATCCAACATAGACAACAAATATTCAGATAATATGCACACATAGGACGTAGTTTATATAAAATATTTCATATCTATGTGTAAGATTAAAGTAACTATGCACTCACCTGAGAAGGTGGTGACTCGGTACTCGGACATCGCTTCGTTTACTTTAAAATAATTTCCTTCGACGACACCTAGTATTATTACCACTAGATTTTAGTCTAATATTTACCGTGACTAATTATTATTATTATTATTATTATTATTATTATTATTATTATTATTATTATTATTGTTGTTGTTGTTGTTGTTGATATTATTATTATTATTATTATTATTATTATTATTATTATTATTATATAATCGTTTAAACAATATTTTCCAACCACTATGTACAGACAGGGGGCCAGACATAAAACACCGGAGGGTAGGATCATTTTGGCATATAGCACTTCTGAAATCCAACAACACTTATGCGACCCTTTAAACCAGATTCCCCGTACTGCGAGTAGTTAAAAAGATATTATAACGACACTTATATAAGTCATAATAATAGCTCAAATATTTATTATAAATTTATAATAACAATACTAATTTTAAATATAAACTATATTTAAAATAGGGTAAGCATAACTTACTTACAAGGAGATTTTAGCTAGGAGTCGGGCTCTGCAAGGGCAGAACTTCGTCGTTGAATCTTTCTAAGAAAGATTCGTGCAACGCTTCAGCGCTCACCTTACTATACTAAAACTGTAGAAAGAGAAGTCGAATCACGAGGGACCGAAATGCTCGGGGAATAAAAAGAGAAAGACTCTTGAATCAAGAGAATGGTGCAAGAAATATGAGAGCCCAAGCCTCTTATTTATAGTAATTGAATTTACAAAAACTACCCTTCATAATTACTTAATGACCTTATAGTTATATAAACAACTAAACAACCCTTTATAATACTAATTTAAATAGATTTAACGATATTTGTATTAAACTAATGTCGAAAGAACTCAACATTAGTCTTATAATGACCGCATCGTCGATACCTTTCTAATGATATATATATATATATATATATATATATATATATATATATATATATATATATATATGTGTGTGTGTGTGTGTGTGTGTACGTATATATGATTTATATATTATTTTAATCCGTAAATATGTTATTATAATTTGTAATTCGTTCATACGAACTCTATTTTTGACATTCTTTATATCCACGCGTAGGTGGCGACATACTCTACAACTTTCGCTTAGACTCCGTCGGCTAATTTTGACTTTATTTTTAAAGTTATATTTTTAACAGGTCGGGACACGATTGGTCCGTTAAAATCTCATAACTTCTTCATCCGATATCCATTTTCGTCTGTATTTTTATCGTTACGCTACTAATAACGAGATGTCCGATTCTCTTTTAGGTTGTATCGGCTAAAAACCGCTCGATCTAATATTCGAATTTCGGGTTGTACACTGCTAATCCGAAATTTCGAAAAATCATAACTTCCTCATACGAAGTCAGATTTGGGCGTTCTTTTTATGGACGCTTTCGGTTTAACATATTCTACGACTTTCGTTTAGATCGCTAGGGATAAATATCTCTCTATCGTAAATTCACTATTTACGTTTCCCGGTATCGTGTCGGTTCCGTCGCGAAACTTCGACAGGTCATAACTTCTTCGTTATAACTCGGATTTCGACGGTCTTTATATGTACGGAAACCTTGTAACATATAATACAACTTGGTTAAGATTATTTATTCTAAATAATATTTTTCCGAAAAGTCATTTTCGACACTTATTGCCTCTAAATTAACTATCCCGGATCTACGGGCGTTACAATTATCTCCCCCTTAGGATGATTACGTCCCGGAATCATCAACGAAACAGGGCTTGTATAATGACTCCATACGTCATCTCTTCATCCTTGGTAATAATTATAACTTATATATTCCTTCAAGTCTATCTCTTAGACTTATTGACTGTAATCAGTACTCAATCGTGCATCTGCTTTCTATCTCAGGTTAGACTCCAAATTAAGACCTACCATCATATGATGCATGTTCAGACTCAGGTCTCTTATAGTTATATTCCAAAACAGACTATACCTTCCTTCATGTTCTAATGTGATATAATCACATTTTAAAAGGTAGCATTTCTAGCTACAAACAACTTTTTGTGATACCTCTACTGATCGCTTTTTATTCCAATCTTCCGTCTTAAGTCAGATGCTACATCGAACTTGATTTTATAAACCACATAGCATACTCAGTGTAGTCGGACTCAATTCTATATGACTACTAGGGTCGGAATATCAATAATCTTTTTAGTCATTACCGAAACGATGGTAATGACATACTTGAATAAAATGGTATCAATTACTAGCTTCTTGGTAACCTTGTGACTTTCCTTGATCCAAGCGTGAGTCCTGTGCTTTCGGTAGTATATGCATCTACTACTTTTCACACCTACTCATACTCGTCCCAAGTATGGTCTCATAGTTTTTCAAGTCACCATACAAGAAAATCACATAACAGTTTAACACATCAGATAGCAAAATGAAGGATTCATTATTTCTTGAAACTATTACATAGGTGTTCAAGTTCACCCTAGACTATGCCTCTAATAGGCTACATCATATTGTTCTATCTCTTAAGCTACCTCATAACTCATTCTTCGGGTATGGATTCCTTATCCGTGGTTCCTTGCATGGTTTTCTGCCTCGTCAAGGATCATGTGGAATGCCCTTAGCCTTGGTGGTGTGTTTGCCTTTGCTGCTTTGTTTTTCTTTGGGAAATTTCTTGACAGGTTCCCCTTGCCTCCACATCCATAGCATACCTTATCATTATGTGTGCAGTCCTTGGAATAGTGACTAGTCCTTCCACACTTGTAACAAGTTACTTCTTTGTTGCACTTCCCATAATGCTTCTTCTTGCATTTATCACACCATCTCGCTTCACCTCCTTCTCCTCCTCCAAGCTTTGAGAATTTGATCTCCTTGTTGGACCTTGAAGATCCTTCAAACTTCCGCTTCTCTCCTGCCTTATCTTTTTCTAGACCCTTTTCTCTTATCTGGGTGTCTACGCTCTTAGCTGCCATAACAACTGTTTTCAAGGTAGTTGCCATTTTGACCATTGGGCCAAAGTTAGTGGGCAACCCTTTAGCAAATCTATCAATCTTGGAGAGTTCAGTAGGAACCAAGTAGGGAAATAGATTCATCCTCTCGGTGAATACGATGGAATACTCATCAACACTCATCTTCCCTTTCTTCAGGTTCTGAAACTTGTTGTTCAGGTCTATCAGATCTATCTCTGAGCAGTACTACATTTTCAACTGTTCCAAAAACTCTTCCCATGACATCCTTAGGGCTTCTCCTCGTGGCATCGTATCTGCCAGTAGCTTCCACCAGCTCAAGACTCCTATTTTCAGTTGTCTTACTGCGAAGACAGTCTTCTGTTTCTCGCTACAGCTGCAGTTCTCAAACACCATCTCCATCTCGGAGATCCAATCCATAATCTCAACCGACTTTGGACTTCCTGAGATACTTGGTGGTTTGCACCCAAGAAATTCTTGTACATTCGCCCATCCTTGTCGTTTCTCCTTTCCGGGCCACCCCTTCGTTCACCTTAAGTCCCCACTTGACTCACTTGGCGGCTGTAGTTCCCTTCCTCCGATTGCTCGGGAATCAGTTCGGTTTGCTCAATGGGCATAGTAGGTTCGTCCCTATTCAA